CCACAAAATCATATCTGCAGTAGTTATCTCTCTCCACATCAAACTTCTCAAACTTTAACTCTATGACCTGTGGGAAAAACAAATACCTAATTAAGGCTTTTTACAGTAAGATAACAAGAAGCACTAATAAAACTATCAGTGTGCCTTATTCACTTTGCTGTCAATTGATGAAAATTGTTTACTCTGTCTGCTTATTCAAGCAATTAGAGGTCTTCAATATATTAATACAAAGGTTGGTCCTAAGAACCACTATCTGTATGGAAGAGGGGGAACAGTAGAGGGCTCTAGGAATAGAGTTAATCATCCAAATCCTGATTTAATTGACAGGACTGCTATAAAAAAAAAAAAGGCCATGTGTTAGAGAAGGAATGTATTTTATTTTTAGGGGCGTTTGTGAACAGACTTTGATTCCAACGATAAGACAGATCTGTGCCTCTATATTCTGGCTGGTTCTCTTGATACCATATTTGTCTCAGACTATGTTCTAACCCAGTAATTAACAGCAGAGAGATATCCTTCAGCCAGTGACTGACAGGTGTGAGTTCAACCCCAAAGCTGCAAGTAGGCAGAAGACCCATTGTAGCATATGTGGATCTTACTATGCTGAAGAATTACTTTGATAGTATATTTTAGAGATTTAGTTATGTAGATGTACCAAAAAATGAATCCATATTCAACTAGATAGCAATTTAGTTGGTCAATAACTGAGTGGAATGCATTATCAAGCTGTGCTGTCTACTTAGGTTCTTATATTGGACCCATCAAGCACCTTTCAGCAATACGTAAAACTATGTAACTGTAGAGTTGATTCCAGCGAGTCATCCTTTAATGATGCATGTACTATTTAAAAAAAAAAAACAGTGAAGCAGAGATCTAAAATATGGGGATTACTTGCTGTTATTTATCTGCTGGGGGATCTCTACTACTATAACTACTACAATCTGCTCTTTTTGACCAAGGGGATAAAAGATATGAAGATTGTCTTGACTATTCAAGGTTTTCCTTTGTTTTGTTTTTTTCCACTGGACCCTCACTGGTGTTGCTCAAGTGGCTGCTTCTTTTTCATGGTCTTCTGGTTCAGAATCTCAATTGGCTGCAGCTGGGAGTGGGGCAAATGGAGTTAAAAGGAAAATGGGGGAGCATACAGAACAAAGACACTGGCTTGGATGGTGGGGAGAGAGGGAGGTACTAGAGGAAACAAAACAGACATGA